TGCCAGCAGGTTAGAGGAGACAAGGTGAAAAGGAGCCAAAGGACCGGTTTATAAGAACAAGGTGGCAGAGCTGTCAGAAGTTGGCAGGGTAAGGCAGCTTGGACAAAAACATCTATAAATAAAAGAAAGTTGAAGGGTCTTGGCAGGGTCAAAAATGAGGGTTCAGTTATTAATTACAGGTGAAAGGCAGATAAACGTTACAGGCTTAGAGAAGCAAGCTACATGTAACTTTTTCAACTCCTCAGACCTGAAAAAATGTGAATCTACAAGCTTAACATCCGACTTCAATTTCTCTCCCAACTCTCTTGTGGAAATCAACACACATCACACTACAAAGTAATCAACTGTTGCTGGTCAAGCCTGTAGTTTACAAACCTTTCATACAGATGACACATAACATGATGACAGATTGGTAATAGAATTCAGAATTATTTTGTTGCAACGAGGTGCACTATTCTGACAATGGTTAAGGAAAAATAAAGGTCCTTAAATATGATTCTGACCTACTTTTAGCCTCTGCAACAAGTTTTTGGAGCTAAAAAAATTTATGTAATTTTATTTTTTATACAACTTTTTTTGACAGCAAAACAAAACAGCCTATTTTTTTAAATTACAGTGCCCTCTACAGGACAGAAGACTTCTTCTGAAGCTCTTAGGCATAATTGGCTTTAACACTTTCAAGATAATTCTAACAGACAGGGAAAGGGAAAATTAATTCTTCATTCATTAACAATCCCTGGGTGAAATTTTCTCATCATATAAAAAAAAACACTTACTCTAGCTTAGGAACCTTAAACTAGCTTGGGAAAGCCAATACGGAAGAAGATTTTGAAGGCAAAAATTCAACACCCTGACTTAAACATTTTCAGTTAATAGGATGAGCTCAAGCTAATCTAAAGAGGAGCTGAGAAAGTTCTTATCAAGAACTTAAGTGAAAAGGGATTAGGGTGAGGAATTAGAGTGCCCTCCTCTGGCCTGACTTGGTTGTTTCTGCCTGAATCTTGGAGGGGAATTCTGGGCTTCAAGATAAAGATCGTGGAAGAGACTCTGAGAGCATGGTGCTACTTACTTAAAGCCCTGTTGATTCCAGGCCTGGCTGTAGACACTGTAGGTGGGGACCTGCCACCCATTAGGAACATACTGGTTAATCTGGGGCCCATTGCCATACCACTGGCTCCACTGGCCATAAGGCTGGGCCGCAGCATAGTTCACCTTGTTCTGCTGTAAGTAAAAGCAGTAACAGATCGTTTCTACAGACCATTCCGTAAATCTGACAGTTGTTTGAATGATCGGTGTAGTAGATGAGTAAGTGCATGTTTATTTTTATGCACAGAAAAGTTAGTTTTTACCTGAGGCATTGGCATCTGCTGCATTTGGTTCATCATGTCAGGAGTCTCTTTACCCCAGTAGCATTTTACAACGTGGCCCTCTATTGAAGTGCCATTTACAGCAACTATGGCCTGGGCAGCTGATTCATGGGAGTTGAACCTTCACCCAAAAAAAGATGCAAAGCATATGAATCATTACAGCTCATTTTGTGCCTTGTAACAGCTGTTGCTGTGAACTACTGATTAGGTACCATATAGCACTAGATGAAAATGTTTGTTGTATTCTAAGTGTGAAGAGGAAGATGAAGATTTTTACACCTGATTCCCTTCATAATGCAACCCAACACGGATATCAGAGTGTTTCAAACTGAGAGCCTCCTGGTGGCAGGCAGGAGTTCTACCACTACACCACTCCAGCAAAATCACACAATGTTGATCAAGTGAAACAGAAAAAAATATTTTCCACATACCTGACAAATGAATAGCCTTTATCTGGGAAAACTCTGATCTCCATGATTAACCCAAAGGCAGAGAAGGTCTGTCTCATCAGTTGTTCTGGAATTCCAATACAAAAAGGAATATAAGATATTGAGCTCTTGCAGCTGTTGTTTTTCTTCAGAAAATGGTGTGCCAACATCTGCTGGCAACCTCAGATAAACAGAGAATGAGTTATCCAAGCCCAAGCACACAGCTTTTCCCTATGTGATGTTCATGAAAAAAATTAAGACCACTATTTACTGAACACAAGAAGTGTATTCAGTGTTTGTTTTGAGGATTTCATGGAAGAAGGATGGGAATTTTCATGATGTATGATTTTCCATAAAGACACATGCAGGATTCAGATGTGCTTAAATCCTTATATGCTCAGTAAAATTCCTTAAACTGTGATTTGCTAAAATGTCCATGCATTTTGCATAGAAAATTTCACACTGCATATGTTTCCTTTTTTTTTTTTTAAACACAGCCAAACAACTAAACCATGACCTTTTGTAAGAAAGTGAATGCAGTCGAACTATTTCACTGTTAAATTACCCAGAATATGGTCTGTTGGATACATTAAATGGGGCTCAACAAGGTATTTGGTTGTGTCTTTGGAAAACTATATTACACATTTAAAATTGTGCATTTACCTGTCAGTCCTGCGCTAACTCCACCACAGTAGACAGTGCAGTTACTAGGACTGGATTGATTGACTACTTCATCAAAAGATAGTGGCTTGGAGTTACCTTAAAAAATAAAAAAAAAGGTCAACACTGTTGTTATGAATTTTTCAAATTACAAACAACAACTAAAAATGTATGTGAACATACTTTCATAAGTAGCCTTTGGAGCAGGGGGTTTTCTTGTGGCCCAGTTAGTTCGGATCTGTCTACCCCCTAACCATTGACCGCCCATTTGCTGAATGGCATTCTCTGCATCCTGAAAGAAAAGAAAACAAGGTTACTGTATTAAATACTGTATTAAAAGTTTGTACAAGTTTGCACAGAACACCAAAAAAAAAAAAAAAGAGTAAACAAAGGTGACTGTGTATGTTTTTTAACAAATATGAAATTAATTATTAAAAATTATGAAATTAATGCATTCACTGTATCTCAAACAGAATGATGAAGCAGAATACCAGGAAAAAAAACTCTTCAAACAACTTAAATGTCAACTTTAAATGTCATAAAACTAAAAAAAGGATCTGAAAGGTTAGCCAAAGCTACTTTCTCTACACTGACTGACACTGTGTAGTACTCACCCATTTATTGAAGAAAGACACAAAGCCGTAGCCTTTAGATTTACCCGTAGCCATATCTTTGACAACACGAGCATCTCTGTGGACAAATGCAATGATATGAACACACTGCAAATAGCAGAACACCTCAAACATAAAATGTTTTAAAATACTTTGTGAATAAAAACATATTCAGGCAAATAACAGAAAAAAAAACAAGTAAAAGGGTAGTAGAAAAAAAGACAGATTTTATTGAACCTGTAAGATAAAAAGCATATCTCTTAACTTAGAAAGTCATAAGTAAATGCACTTAATACACCTTGAGTTTAGATTTCATCCGTTCCTGTGGGCCAGCTCAGATTTAATTATCGTATCAGGGCTAGAGTAAGTAAGTAAGTAAGAACAGCAACTGACATCTTAATGTTAGTTGTTAAAGACCAGCTTTATACTTACGATATCCTGCCAAACGGACCGAAGGCAGCTCTGACATCTTCTGTAGTTATTTCTGGACTGAGGTCTCCGACGAAGACATGAAAGTGATCTAGAAAGTCAGAAATGGTTTTGAACATTACTTATAGTGTGTGGACAAGGCACATTTTACAGGTTTTGATCTTTTTCTTTTTACAGAGTATGTGCCATATAATGACATAATGATTCTATGATTATTATTAGTAAAAGATTCACCAGGAATTTTGAAGACCAAGAAAACATGAAAGTATTTGACCATTTGTGTCAATTGTGAGTCTGACACGTCCATAGTTTAGTCCAATGTTTTCTAAAACCATACTTACTACTTGTGTCTTTTTTCTGGCTGGTTGGTGTTGTGGCCCAATTTACTTTGACTTCCTGTAGAGAAGGACAGAGAAAAACATAGGTGGGGTATGTTTGCATCATTAACAGTGCGAAACGTTTATTTCCGGGTACAAGGCAAGGACCACCCCATCTACTCATTTCTACAAAGACACAACCTGTTCAAAAGACCATCAGAAGTGTTCTACTTGATTTAAAATGTTTTGGATAATAGGGCTACCATTTACTGAAGACAGCAATCGAGCCATCTTTCTCATGGCAGTTCTTAATAACAGGTCTTGTTTTCCATAAACCTGTATCCAAAACTCCTAAAGACCATCAAACACTCCCTGACCCTGTCATGCAGAGTACTTATGAAGTTAGTATAAAAATTAGATTTTCCATTACAGTGTTTGAAATGAATAGCTACTGGAAATTACTTTTAACTATTATTGGCCTAGCAAAAGGCCCAGTATAAGGTTCACTGTAATTCATTCAATTTCGTGCCGGACTTTTACTCTGTCTTGCTGAGCTTAATTATCTCTCTTAAAACTCATACTCTACATCTGGACCAGTGCAATCTTTGTTGTATCACGACCAATGATTTATAGGTAATTTAAGTTTATTAGAGAAAGCATACATTACTGATTGTAATCTTTTCCTAAGCAAATGTCAGAAAAGCTACAACTCTGGCTGATTTTGTCGGTCCAATTAACATTTTTGTCCAGATATCTCTTTCATATGGTTTATGCACACAAAACCTTCCTCTCACACCAAAGCCCACACATCCCCACTCACGCTGTAGATACGATTGCTTACCTTACCCATTATTTTCCTTCCATTTATAGCTGCCATTGAAGCAGCTGCATGTCTGTGGTCATAGAACTCCACAAAGCAGTATGGGTCATTTCCAGCTGCCTGTTGACAGCAATATTTAGGTACAACAAAGGTGAGTATTTTATTGCTTTGTTGTGTGCTTGACTTTCACACTGAACTGAACCAAACAACAACCTTCTACTCCTCCTCAAAACTGCCTTCAGACACCTTTTGAGCTGCAACACTGAACCAGTGAATTTCTGTTGTGATACCTGATTGTAATCTGACCATTGTGAGGGCTGTCTATAGGATGTCATTAAAGCCTGTTGCCTTCTGATATCATGTCCCTTGACGATTGTACAGATTTATACATCTAGACATTTAGGTCTGCCAATCATCTGAAAAACTGTTCAAGCAGTGTTAAAAAAATAGCTGTCAATCAAACCAATTGCAAAAGCTTCTGTAAGCTAAGCGGAAAAAAATCCCTCTGGGAGGAGACCAAGGGGAAGACCTAGGACAAAAAAAAAAAATCATCCGTTTCATTGATACGCTAGTAATTATTGCCTTTCTACTACCACTTTCGCACTTCTGATCCACAATGCCCACATAAGCTAAAAAGTGGCAGGGAATACATTATTCTCAGCATGAAACTGGTATTATTTGGTGGATTATTTGCTTGTTTGTTAATGAAAGCAAGGAATTCACATAAATACCTCTACCCCCTGCCTCTGGAACGTTAACTTTATTGTTCAGCATACCATGAATACATGTGCCCAAGTATTAAACCACAAAACATACTAACGTCGACTATCATTTTGCAGCTCTTGCATGGTCCCATCTGTGTAAAGACCTGAAGGATTAAGGGCTCAGTGACCTCCCTTGACAGATTCCCCACATACCTGTAAAAAAACAAAAAAACAAAGAGACCGTGAGAGCGAGAATGTTGATGGCAAACCGGAAGTAACTTGCAAACAAAGGCTAGCTATTAGAGCTAGCAACAGCACAACACAACTCCCCATTTGAAAATAAAAATAACAGAAATTGGGTAAATATTAAGAAAACATTGTCTATGGCAATCATCCAACCCAGGAAATGTGGCCTTTTAGCATTTAAAATGTGCTTGTCTATGCAGTTTTAACGAGCGTTGACGTGGCTTTCCTGTAACTCGGCTAACGAGGAAGCTAACTGGTTCAAAAGGGGCCTCATGTTGAAACATGTTTTAAGAAATAAACGTGGTTTAAATAATAAAGTCCACAAGCCGGAAATGTTTTATTGGTATTTTGTTCGCCACATTATACAATAAATAACCACAATGAAGCACATTTACTATCCGTGCCGACGCTTTTTAGCAACGTAGGAAAATATGGCTAATGATCAATGGCATGAACTATCGGCCATTTATATGGTTTTCTTTTTAAATAAAAAAAATCTAGCAAAAACGTTGCGACTTGGCTAGTAAAATACGCCGGCTTTGTAAACGTCGATGGTGTCCATGTTTTCAGTTCAATTACCACATTGTCTTAAAGTACAATAAATGTAAAACAACAACGTGGATAAATAGATACACAACATATATAGACATCGTTTCCCAATTCAAGACATAGACGGGGCCCTCGGCTACTCACAGGGTTCTGGGCTGCTCGTCCTCCATCATCAGTGAATGCCGGGAGGTTCCTTTATTTAGTCCAGTGATATAAGCAGAAACGTGATTCTTCTGAATTTGGTCGACGTCCGACGTAGCAAGTTACAAATACGAACTATTAACAATGACAGTTTCACAACCGATTCGTCTGTCTCTGTCTCTGTCTCTCCCTCTCCCTCTCTCCCTCTCCCTCTCCCTCTCCCCCTCTCCCTCTCCCTCTCTCACGTGCGTGTGCGTACGTACGTAATCTGTACTGTCTCTCTCGCTCTTACTTGCATAGACACGGAAGACAGCCTCAGTCTGCTGCAAACAATAGAAAGTTGAAAGTGGCAGAGGAACAGCGTCAGAAATATTCGCTGTGTATTTTAATGACGACACCGGCATTGAAACGACATTTTTTTGCACAAAAACACGACGCACGGCTTTGCTCTTATTTTCAAAGAAGTAACTCGTTTTAGGGTCTTTTTGTGTTGATTTCACCTTGCAACCAAGTCATTAAAAGGCTGTATTCTGTATGGCAGAATATAATTATATATATATAATCCCATATGGTCAAAACATAAATTCAAAAATTAGTGCGCCGCCTGGGAACCGAACCCGAGCCGCAAGAATGGGATGTTTGCATGACACCGCTACACCAACGGCGCTTACGCCCAATGTGGGAGAGAAGTCGGTCTTGAATGCTCTACAATTTCCTAGCGGAAGGTTCAGTGTATTGATTTACATATTCAAACGTACTTGAGGTAGGTGGTTGTTGCTAAAGAAAACAGTAACTTCTGAGTGTGTCTTTAATAGTGTTTAATGGGTTGAAGGCATATGCTATTAATCTAATTTCTAATTTTTAGCTATTATTTATATACAGAAATTGTACTTGAGTTTTGCTTTTCGTTTCTGTGGCGGCATTGTAGCGAATTTAGCTCTAACCCATTATTATAATTTAGCTGGTAGCGCTTTGGCCCAGAGGCAATGTCTCTGTCATTAGTGTGGAACCCCAGGATTTGGTCGTTCCGCACCAAGGTTGGTACTTCCAGTGCACTTACCACCCGCAGGAAGGCTTGGGGGCGGGGGGGGGG